GTGAGCAGTTAATCATCTTAGCCCATAGCCAAGATAAAATATAACAGAAGATTCCATCAGAAGATTTTCATTCTTTTTGTTGCTTTCAGTGGGTTTCAGAGAAGAGAGTACAATAAACATCTTTTAATTTGTTTACCAGTGTGTCTTTCCCACCCATCTGTGATGTCCTCTAAATGGGGACCATGACCTAAATTGTTTTCTATTTTCCAGCACCCAGCATGATGGCTGACACAGAGCAGATGCTTAATAAATGTTTCTTGGATGAAAGAATGAATGCATTCCTGTCCTGAGTGGGTGAAAACTGCCTTTCCCACTTTCCTTATTCTCAATGTACTCTTCCTATCCCCTTTCCTCTCTCTGTAGGAGAAAGTTAAGTGGAGGAATTGTCACAATGGCTCCATTCTCTTTTCTCTGTTTCCCCTTCTTGTCATGGTTGGCTTAAAGCTTATGTCTCCTGTCACCAGCACTGATTTACCTCTCCCCAGAATGAAATTTCATTCAAGCTTTGCCTGTGGTGCAGCAGGCTTCTGGCTGCCAAACCGTTTAACAATGTCCCTCCTTGAAATAGGAACTCTTTTACACTGTTGGTGGGAGTGTAAATTAGTTCAACCATTGTGGAAGACAGTGTGGCGATTCCTCAAGGACATAGAAATAGAAATTCCATTTGACCCAGCAAACCCATTACTGGGTATAAATCCAAAGGATTACAAATCATTCTACTATAAGGACACATGCACACGAATGTTCATTGCAGCACTGTTTACAATAGCAAAGACCTGGAACCAACCCAAATGCCCATCGATGATAGACTGGACAGGGAAAATGTGGCACATATACACCATGGAATATTATGCAGCCATCAAAAACGATGAGTTCATGTCCTTTGTAGGGACATGGATGAAGCTGGAAAGCCTCATTCTCAGCAAACTGACACAAGAGCAGAAGATCAAACACCGAATGTTGTCACTCATAGGTGGGTGTTGAACAATGAGAACACATGGACTTATATCTATCTACTCTATTCTCTACCTGTTCATCTCTGCCATAAAATCTCTTACCCTTTCTTTCACAGAACAATTCATCCTTTCCCCAGGTATTTCAAACCCAAAAATGTGACAGTTTTTTTTTTGTTTGTTTGTAGGACCTACCTCCTTAGAAGCTAGTGTTTTATAAATAATAATCCTTGTTTGTTTTTCTTCATCATTAGAACGTCTGTAAAGGGCCATGAAGGTGAATTATTAGTTCTGCTATCCTTAGTACCTAGCAAAGCTCTGGAATCATTTTAGGCAGTTAGTAAATGCAATTAGAAATACGCATTGTTATTGAAAGAATTTTAGAGCATCTATATACCCTTAATGTCACTCTTTGGTGGTGAACTGAGAGCTAACTGTAGGAAGTAAATATTATTTATCTTCTCTGTACTTGAAGAAGACATGGGTCATTAATTCTGGCAAGTACTGAGTGACATGAGATGGAGGAGAGTAGATAATGTGTTCCCGGATGGTGGGGTGACACATTGTCTTCATTTTATCTACACAAGGCTGTGAGTCCCCAGTAGGTCGTCCAGGTTGAAAATTAGAAAGCCAATAGGAGATTGACCAGAGACAAACATCTGGACTTACTCTCCACTGAACCAGACATTCAGCCTTGGCGCTAGACACTCTGAAACTTGGCTGGGCTTCCCACAGAGCTTGGCCCAGGGTCTCCAATGGCTCCATTGAGCTTGGCGGAGCACATTGACAGAGTTGGCCCAGAAAGGCTCCAGGACAACACCCAAACTCAGCAGTGGCCCCACCATGGGGTACTTGTTTTGGGGGCTTTACCTGATGGAGGGCAGGGCGTGGACAGGCCCTGGCATGTGGATTGAAGTTGGTTCTGACAACCCAGACCTCCACATGGGCCACTAGGTTCCCCTGAACCCTGCTGGGCTCAATTCAGGAGAAATGCTCTTGCCAATGGGCAGGGAGGTTTAGCATTCCACCCTTGCTCTTTTAATCCCCTCTGTGCAGGAATGTTCCACTGCAGAGACAGCAGAGCTTGCAGAGACAGGAGGTAGTGCCAAAAGGGAGAGAGTGGTGGAGAAACAATTTTGATGAGATTTAGGGTAGTGTGTGTGTGGGGTCAGGGGTAGGTGCTAAGTTAGGCTGTACCAGGGACTCACTGTGTGACCTTGGGCAAGTCACATTCCTTCTCAGGGCCGATTTGTTTACGTTCAAAAGATGAGGATAGACAAAAAAAAACATGTAAGATTCATTTCTGGATAAAGCTGTAAAATTCTAAAATTCTGAAAGAGCTAAATGTTGTAAGCTGTAACAGTTTTAATTGTAAAGTCCAAACTAAGATTCTGTTTTTAATCTACAGGGCCTCTCCTCTAGAGAGATTTGTATGCAAGCACATTTGCAGGAAACAGGGTGTCTGTCTTAATGGGAATATCAGAGTCAATTCTGAGTCCCCTCATCTCAATTCTAGAATTTTAAGCACCTTGAGGCAAGGTCTATGACTCATACTGCCCAGGACATAGAATTCCTCTGAATGTAATAAATAGAAGAGTACTTTGAGGTCATTGAATCCAATCTTCTTAGTTTTAGATGGGGTAATGGGACCAGAGAAGGGAAGTTGTTTTCTCAGTGTTATACAATGAATCTCAGGCCCAGAACTCAGGTTATCTGATCCCAGAACAAAGTTCTTTCCAAAAATTGAAAATTTCTGCCTGAAATTTCATATAAGGTCTCTGAATTCCAAGGCTTTCAGATACTTCATCTTTTAAAATAGGCTTGACTCCTCCCTCCTTTGGGCAACTTTCAGGTTAACTCAGGGATTGACTATGGGGACTATGAGAGTCTTAAGCTCATATAAAGTCTGTGAAATTCCACAGGCTTAAGTATCCCTTTGGGAATCTTAGAGATTTTGCCCAAGTAGTCCATGCCTTGGACAGCAGCCTTCCTGGAAGGGATGTGGCCTCCTGTATATCTGGTCCCAACTCCAGCTCCAGGATAGGATCTCTGAGCTGGCATGACATGGCCCTATTGTAAACAAGGGAAGGTCATGACCCTCTACAAATGACTAACATGCTAATTTGAAGAGTCTGCCTGGACTAGAAAAACAAACAAGAACAATGAAATTTAAGGCAACTTTTTAGACAACCAGGAGGCAATGGGAAACTCAGAAACATGACAGAAGGAGTCCCCAGCAGCCATTGTCTCTTTCACAAACAGTCACTAAGCACCTGTCATGAGCCAACCAATGTGTCAGGCAACTTTGGAAGATACAAGAGGACAACACGTCAAGCCAGGCCTCTAAGACCTCACAGTTCTAGGGAATTAGACAAGCATTCATATGGCCAGTGCTTCTAGGGTGTAAATGAAAAATATCTTTAAACACCATGTAATACGAAGCAGCCTCAGTCTAGATTTCTTTATTGAACTTCAGACCAGCAGCCCACCTAATATCAACCACTTGGATGTCTCGTAGGTAACACAGCTTTAAAACAGAACTCATGGTTTTTTGCCTCAATTTTCCACTGTTCTGTTAGAATAAATGACACCATCATTTACTCAGTTGCTCATTCCAGAAATGGGAATCATCCTTGATAACTACTTCTCCCTCATCAACCTCCTCATATTCATTCACTCAATCAATCACTACGTCCTGTAAATTCTATTTATATTTCAAATATGCCCCATCTTAACTGCTGCTTCCCTGAAAGCAAGTCAACATAATTATTTTTCTCAACAGACTCGGAATTGGCCTTACAGAATCCACTGTTGTTTCCAATCTGTTCTCTGCAGAGTAATAGTAAGACTGATTAACAACAACAACAACAACAAACCACAAACACACACATAGTTGATTCAGTCACACTCTTGTTTAAAAAGCTTCAATGAGGACTTGTGATTCCATCCATGAATAATTAGCTGTTACAGAAAATGCCCTCCCACTGATGTAATTAGTTAACTGCTCATCAGAACAAAATCCAGTGCTCTTGAAATACATACTACAAAACCCACCACCTAAGAACATAATCACAATACCCAGCATCCAATAAAAAACTACCAGGTATTTAAGAAAGCAGAAAAATATAACCCATAACCAGAAAAGAAGGGATCTAGTTTCAATCTTTTGCATATGGTTAGCCAGTTATCTCAGCACCATTTACTGAATAGGGAGTCCTTGCTTATTTTTGTTGACTTTGTCAAAGATCACATGGTTATAGGTGCATGACCTTACTTCTGGGCTCTTTATTTGGTTAAATTGGTCTATGTGCCTATTTTTGTACCAGTAACATGCTGTTTTGGTTACTGTAGCCTTGTAGTATAGTTTTAAGTCAGGTGGTGTGATGCCTCCTGCTTTGTTCTTTTGCTTAGAATTGCCTTGGCTATTCAGGCTCTTTTTTGGTTCCAGATAAATTTTACAATAGTTTTTTATAGTTCTGTGAAGAATGTCATTGGTGAATTGATAGGGATAGCATTGAATCTGAAAATTGCTTTAAGGAGTATGGCCATTTTAACAATATTGATTCTTCCAATCCATGACCATGGAATGTTTTTCCATTTTTTTGTGTCAGCTCTGATCTCTTTGAGCAGTGTTTTGTAGTTCTTACAGCAGAGATCTTTCACCTCCCTGATTAGCTGTATTCCTAGGTATTTTATTCATTTTGCAGCAATTGTGAATGAGATTGTGTTCCTGATTTGGCTCTCAGCTTGGCTGCTGTAGGTGTATAGAAATGCTCGTAATATTTGTACATTTTTTTTTTGTATGCTCAAACTTTGTTGAAGTTGTTTATCAGGTTAAAGAGATTTTGGGCTGAGACCATGGGGATTTTCTAGATACAGCGTCATGTCATCAGCAAACAGGGATAGTTTGTCTTCCTCTCTTTCTATTTGGATGTGCTTTATCATTCTCTTGCCTGATTGTCTTGGCCAAGACTTCCAATATTACATTAAATAGGAGTGGTGAGAGAGGGCATCCATGTCTTGTGCTGATTTCAAAGGGAACGTTTTCAGCTTTTGCCCATTCAGAATGATGTTAGCTGTGGGTTTGCCACAGATCGCTCTTATTATTCTGAGGCATGTTCTTTCAATATCTACATACTGAGGAACTTAAAATTGAATTGCAGAAAACAGTGAAACAAAGAGGAACTTTCAAAGCAGTCAGAAAAAAACACATCATAAGTACAGAGAAACAAAAAACAAGAATGACAGCAGACTTCTCATCAGAAACTATGCAGGCCAGAAGATAATGGGATGGTGTATTTGAAGTGTTGATGTACAAAATGCTAAAATTAGAATTCCACAGCCAGCAAAAATATCTTTGAACAATTAAGAAAAAAATGAAGACTTTTACACATCTATAAAAGCCAAGATAATTCACTATCAGCAGATTTGCCCTAAAAGCAGGAATCTTCAGGCAGAAGGGAGGAGACCAAAGTATAGAAAAAGGGACACCACAGCAAAGAGAGGGGGCAACTGAGGAGCAGATGGAGGACCTGAGAAGGGAGACTCAGAAAGAATTAATTTGCAGCACATTGACTTTAATCTAATTGATTGGGAGCCCTTTGGTGCTGAGGCTCCCTCTGCTCCCTTACCAGTCTCTTTCATATGTATCCCACAGTTGTCTTTTGCCTCTTTTCCAGTAGAGTCCTGAATCTTGTCCCAGGGCTGCTCCTTCTCCTTCTCTCTGTTTCTAAATTGCTCACCCCAACCCTACTCACTCTTCACTTTCTTCCCTGATCCCTGGCATTTCTTAGAGGGCTGGACATTTCTCTCTGCCTGCCTCCCTCCCCTCCCCAAGAGTGCATCTTCCTTCTGTTGTCTCCTGTGTTAGCACACCCACATTTAAATGCTTGCTCACCCTTTAAGATGACCTCCTTCTATGACTTTTATTGTTTGCTGTCCTCCCTTCAGTAGTTTTTGAATTTTTCTCATGGGCATACATTGCTTCAATCATATTAATGATAAATAATAATGATGATATTGATAAAAACCCATGATGGGTAATGAGAGAATGCATAAAGACTCTCAGTGCCAGACTATCTCAAGTGATGCAAGCTTAGAGGATCCAGGAGCGGATGTGGACAAGTTTCCTAGCCTCCTTTGGAGCCAAGGGCACTTGCTACACAATGAATCAGGACTCATGTTAGTGTAAGTCAGAAAAACCCCAGGCCATATGGAGGAAACTTTAGTCATCTCTTTCACTCCTAGACCTCAACTTGTAGTCACTTGTGATTCTGAGAGGCATGGGCCTCAGCCTTTCTTCTCCCAAACACCCTTTGCTTGGATGCTCAGAATCTTCACCTCCTCCCCAGCCAACCATGCTGCAAGGCTTCCCTTTGCTCAGGGCCACTGCGAAAACACATCAGGTGCAGAGTGTTAGACAAATTGACCAGGGTTTACTTTTGGTTCTGCCTCTTAGTCATCTGTGTACCTCCAAGTAAGTAAACTTTATCTTCCTGGGACTTGATTCCCTTTCCTGTGAACTGGGAATAATCCACCTTTTGAGGCATCTGGGAGGCCCAAATGAGATAATAAGTGAGAGTAACCAGCATGAAATGTAAATATTTCTTCCTTTTCCTATCTGTGTCAATTACCTCCAAGTGATAATGGTTTGGCCTGCTGCCTCGTGATAGTCTTGTAGACAATGCCTTAAGCCCTGGTGCCACAGCAGGCCCAAGGGGAAGGGGCTTGGAGGCACTGTGTCTCATTTCCATAAGTGCTCCTGAGCTGTTCACTTAACCTGCCTAAGCCTTTGTCTCCTCAACTGTAAAATGGGCATCATTGTGCCCCTTCATAGGGCCAGTGTAAGAATTCAGAAAGAATTTTTGTGAAAACGCTTTGTAATTTGCCAGTGCTCTTCAGCATAGATGAGAAACTAAGACTTGGAGCCATTAGATGGTCTGCTCAGGATCTCTCCATCTATGACATTACAGCTTAGTATTCACATCTGAAAGCTGGATTATAAGGGCATATGAATAAGAGTCAATTACATATAATTGTTAATACTGTCTAGTAATAAGAAAAAAAAGCACTATCACTAATGGAGTGTGTGATCTGTGACAGGCAGTGGTGTGGCCAGGTTGGGGGGTGGTTGCAGTGCACGACAGGGATGATGGAAAGTATTTCTTACTGGCATTGCTTAGAAACGATGGTGCATGGGGATAATACAAAGCAGCTCGGATTTTAGTCAGCTTTCTAATGGTTTTTAAATTATCTGCAGATAATGCAGCCCCTTTTTGCCTGCACTCCAGGCAGCCCATTCCCACCATGCTTGTAGTAGGCAGTTTCAGAGAGCTGCTTTCTCTAAGGCTCTGACAAGCCCATGTGGGAGGTGTACTTTTCTGCTCGTTTACAAAAAAGGAAACTGAGGTCCAGTTGAAGACATTTTCCAAGGAAGACACAGTTTTAAAACTGTCATCCTCTCTCCCTGATGGGCTTAAATGTTCTCCAGAAAAGCCTCAAGGGCCAGGGTCCTCAATGAGCCCTTTGGGGACCCTACCGGGTGGCTTGGGGAGAGAGGTCTGCCCTGTTCACTTCACAGGAGCAGCTTGCCTGAGGCAGGAATGCTGGGGTCCCCTCTGGTCTTTACCATGCTTGCTTCCCTCTCCTCACCTTTACACCTTCTTCCAAGAGAAAGGCACCCAGAACTCAATGCAGCCAGGGAGCACACCTTAAAAACCTTTAAAAAAGAACAAGATGCATGTGCTGTTGGTAAGTAGCTCAATTACCACTCACAGGGCCCTTGAGCCAGCCATTTCCTGGTGTGGGAAGCGTGATAGGCTGCACAGCCCAGATGGAGCTGCTTTGGGGGCTATGCATGGGTCTGGCATGGAAGAGAGAAGCACCTGGACCCTGCAGGACAGTGACGGGAAGTGGGGCCAGCTCCTGTCTTGCAGCAGCAAGCAGAATCTAAGAGCATAGAGGAGCTGTGGTCCCAGGGCAGCGTGGCTCTGGCCGCACTGTGGTTGGGGCCAACAGGCCTTCTGGAAATATCCCAGCTGTGGCTTTGTTCTGTGCCCTGGAGAAAATGACCTCTTGGAGGCCCTTCCAGGATGAGACAGACAACAATTTTCTGGATAATTCAGGCTCCAAATCTCTCTCTGCCTTCATTCCAATTATTCAGGGTTATTGTGGGAATTCTGAGGAACAACTTGAACTGCATTAAACCAAGAATAGGAACCAATGGCTCAAATGGCTGAATCTAGCACAAAACCCAAATATTAATTTTCTATAAACGTAATACAACTGGAATCAAAGTTGTTTTTGTTTTTAAACAAAACCAAACCCAAGTGGATCAGTTGGAACTTGCATCAAAACTCTCTGTGTCCTAAAATTAACAAACCAGAACAAAATTGGAAAATAGAAACTTTTTTGAGTGAAAACACCATTTCATTAGGTTTGTTGAACCAGGATTTTTTAATGCCCCTTTAAAAGACGGAAAAAAACTTCCAAATGTGAAAGTAATAATCTCAGTACAAAATATTCAGAAAAACCCAAACAGTTTAAAAAGAATGTCACCTCTAATCCCAACAGTGGGATATTTCCAAAGCTTTTTCTTTTTTCTTTTTTTCCCCCAACTCTTTTCAATGCATATTTTCTCTTTCTTTTCTTTTTACATAAATGTGATTGTTCTATACGGGTTATCTTATCTTCTGCTTTTTTAAATTAAGACCACCTCACGGAAAAATTCCCTATCAATATCTAGAAAGCCAAGTTATTATTCTTCATTTTTGAAAAGTATTCCATTGGACATATGCTGGTTTATTTCACTGATCGAATTACTCTATGAGTATTTAGGTTACTTCCATTATTTTACTTTTACAACTAATACTCCAGTGAATGGCTTTTCGTATATATCTTCATACCCTGGACTGATTATTTTGGATACATTACCCCCAAAAAAGTGTTTCTAAGTCAAAGAATGTATATATATATATATATATATATATATATATATATATATATACACACACACACACACATACATATATATATATATATATATGTGTATATATATATATATATATATATATACACATACACTTTTCATACATATTTCCAGCTATCCCTATCCCCTGATATGGTTTAGATCTGTATCTCTGCCCAAATCTCATGTGAAATGTAATTCCCAGTGTTCTAGGTGGGGCCTGCTATGAGGTGACTGGATCATGGAAGTGGTTCCTCATGGTTTGATACCATCCACCTTGGAGCTGTCATCAAGAGAGTGAGTTCTCATAAGATCTGGTTGTTTAAAAGTGTGTAGCACTTCCTCTTCTCTGTCTTCCTCCTGTTCTGGCCATGTGAGACATCTGGCTTCTGCTTTGCCTTCTGCCATGATTTTAAGTTTCCTGAGGCCTCCCCAGAAACCAAGCAGATGCCAGCATCATGCTTCCTGTACAGCCTGCAGAATCATGAGTTAACTAAACCTCTTTTATTTAAAAATTACCCCGTCTCAGGTATTTCTTTATAATAATGCAAGAATGAACTAATACATGCCCCTCATGAAAGATCATAACAATTTTCACTCCCACTATCAGCAGATGCACATCCCCATTTCTCTACACTCTGGCTAACAGTGACATGCCAGAGAAGTCACTCTACTTCTCCTTCCACATCTCCAAAAGGAGCAGTCCAACCCATAGCTATAGGGCAGCCAATTGTCCCTGTTTGCTCAAGACTGAGGTAGGTCTTTGGACACGGGAATTTCAGTTTTCAAACCAGGAAACTCCTGGGCAAACTGGGATGGCTTGGTCACGCTACATAGCCCATGACAGCCTGTGCCTCCATCCAGACTTGAGAATATGTCCTAGCAAACAGATATCCCAGGAAGCACCAAATCTGCATCAACATCAAAGGAAACCATGCCACAGAAAATAAAATGCTACTGGACAAATCCCCTTGGAGTGACCTTCCCAGTAACCCAGTTATGTGTGACTGTGATGAACATAAGGAACACAAAAGGAGCCACGTGGCTTGATTCTGTATGCAGCTCAGGACAACGGTCTCTTTGCAAGGAAGAACACCTTCTCCTGACAGCTGGGTGGCCAGGATTTTATGAGTGCACTTGCTCCAATGCTGAGTTTTGCCTCAACTTATTGAGCCAGGAGTGGATATCTGGCCCCAGGATGTCTAATGACTTCATATGGGGAGATGATTTGAACCAGTTGGATTTATTCTCTTGGGAATTTATTTTGGGAACAAGAAAATAATTTCTCAGTTAACAGTGAGAAATAGGTCTGAAGGGTCATTAACTAAAGGGTGACCAAAAAGGTTTAAACACCAGCCAAAGCAATGGGGAAGAGGAAACTAAGGGTAAAGAAGAGGAGCTGTTTCTAAGTAAGAGACAGAGAGAGGGGCAAGCAGAGTAATTCTGTTGTTTTTATGGAGAAGAAAGATTCCTCAGTGTTCCTGCACATCCCAAGGCTCTCTTGTTGTCCTTCTCCAGATTCCTGTGCACTGTCCTCAAAATAAATGCCTATGCCTCTTCCTGCTCATCAACTTGCTACCCCTGGAATAAATCTCAATTCCTTGCAAGTCAAGAGGTCTATTCAACACCCCTGGGTATCACCCATCATTTCCACCCTTGGCAACCAAAC